ATCGTCGGGTGCTTTGGGCACATGACTCCGTCCAATACAATCCAATAAAAGATCATCAATTGCTAAGTCTTTTCTTTTCAATATAACAACGATATTAGAGCTAAATATTATGGTATATATTATGTGATGTGATGGTCGGCCTATTCACTCACGAATAACACACCAGTGAATGGGCAGACCATAGACTAAAGCCTGGCAGACACTGTGCTCTCTCGCCAGGAGAGAGAGAGAGAGGGGAGAGAGAGAGAGAGAGAGAGAGAGATGGAGAGCAGCTGTTTGTGACACAAGCAGTGAATGCACTGATGAATGGATTGAAACACAACTCGATTTCTCGTTCGTTGCGAACACTTATTGTACAGAATATACAGAATTCAGTGAACACTATGTTTAGAGGAGTTTGCGTTTGCCTTAACTTTTGGTTATTATATTAAGTTTTATAAAACTCAATATCACTTCAATGTTATATTGTTTGCGCTTAAATAATGCATGTTTTATATACTATACTTACATTACCTTACATTATATTACATTACTTACAAAAAATATTCCACTAAATATTAGAGTAATGTCTGATTCAGTCATTATATGGATAGAAATCATATTTTACATTTGCATCAAGAATCCAATATTATTATTTGACATATAATTAGATGAAATAAATATTGAAACCAATGAAATGAAATTGATTACTTTTTGCATTATAATAGAGAAATAAAAGAAAATGAGTGTTATAACCATTTGAAGTATATTTAAATGATTGTACATTTTAAAATCTATATTCTACTTATTAGTAGAAAGTTTTGTTAAGTTCAAAAAGTAAAAACTATTTACATATAGGGTATATGATATATATAAAAAAGTATATATATTATACCACACAGTAGGATGTTTTAACTTAACAAAACGCATTTATATAAAAAAGTTTTTGTGGCCATAAATATCACTAATAGTTTGTTTTATATAATAAACTATTAGTAAGAAGACCATTAGATTATAGGATTAGATAAAAGTGACAATAATTGTCAAAATAATGGCTACAAATAGACCACAATTTGTTGAGATTTGCAAATCTGTGAACAAATTTGCATACATTTATAGTTATGAGGAGAGAGTTGTTAACAATAAGAAAAGGTAAGTAAGGAATGGGAGGAATGGGAAGAGATGTGTCCAACGATTATGAGATTCAGTGACTCAATGGATCAGAATAGGAGAAGAGATGGTAAGGAATGGCTGAGAGAACAGATGTATCGGCGGTTTTATATTGTACCCGGATCTCTTTTGTAAACAAACTCTCAATGAAATATGTTTTGCATATATATGTGAATGAGTGCAACAATTATTCATTTATCACGAATATGTATGAATAGTAAAGAAGAAACACTTTTTTATGTGCAAAAAGGCTGAGAGGAATCAAAAACCATTTATATTTGTCGTTTAGTCCGCTATTCAAATGGTTGTCATTTGTAGGCGTGAATACCGATTGTATCTTTTAAAGCATCAAAATATGGGAGGTTTTAGACCTCCAGTCTCTCTCTCTCTCTCTCTCTCTCGCTCTCTCTCTCTCGCTCTCTCTCTCTCTCTCAGACTCCGGCAGCACAGCTATCGTCGTGTCATTTACGCGCTTTTGACTCTCACTTATAATAACAACTTTTGTCACAAATTTTTTCTATTAATTCAATCACAAAACTTGACTTCACTTCTCACATTCAACACAATTTTATGTTAAATACTGTGTTGACAGTTTTTGCCAGTGTTAGCAAAATTAATAAATTCAACTAAAACTGCGGCAAAACGTGTTAAGATTGAAGCGATTCTGATAGGCGTCCAAAGCATTTGGTCTGAAATTTCTATTGACTTAATATTCTCGAAACGACTACAGAATAGGAAAATGAATGTATGGGTTGAGTGAAAAACATATGAATTCAATATTTCATGTGTAATCAAATCTAATCTGCGATCTGCTTATGAAAGGAGTGGAGTTTTAGTGTTAGTAATAAATATGGGGACAAATAGAGTCGCGCGACTCCACTGAATGGTCAGAAGTAATGGTCAATTTGGGCTTTTGTTGAAAGCTTTTAGTCGCAAATATATATTTCATTCGTTTCAATACATTGTATTACAGTGACTGAAGTGAGCACACAGTGAGTTTGCATTTGCCCTTAAATTACATCAATTTTTGGTGGCAACAGAAAACCCAACAATACTAACAATATTTGCTTTCATGTCATACACCGAGCGAATAGTTTTTGGCACTTTAGATAAGAGGCATTTAAAGTAAACAATTCATTAATTGGCGTCAAATTTCAACTAATATCTCCTCACATCTCATACTTTCCATAAAAGCTATACAATAGATAGCAGCGAATGAATCCTAATATGCAATCATTTGTATTATCAAAGTCTCGCCTATTTTTGCGAGGATTATATAATTACTGAAAGGCGTGATTCGCTTTTGACATCTTCTATAACTTATTATAATTCACTTTTTCACTAATACTTTAATTATAGTGTTTTCGTGAGAGAGAGAGAGAGAGAGCGAGAGAGAGATTCTGTATTACTAAATGTTTGTGTATCCTATCGTTGTATTGAATGGCAACCACTTTATGTTATATTTATACAATGCATGTGCCTCTCAACATCCAGTACCCCTCATACCTAATACACCTCATACAGTGGTCACCCTAAATATACACACTTATGCTCCCACAGTGGACAGGCATCAAACAATGTTCATTTCAATTCACATCATAACATACACTTTTAATAATATCAACATTTTTGCACATTTTTCAATCAACGGGTTCTTTGTGTGGAAAAGCTCTGAAAAACACTATTATATTATTATATTTACGATAATATACTCTTTAGATATATTATATACTGTTATAATAGATCCTATATTAACACTTAACTGACTATAAGTACTCTATTTATGTGAAATATATATTTATAGTACGAAAATAAAAATATTTGAGATCATTATTCCGGATAATCGCGTCTATAGTTATATTATAGTTATATTTATGAATTAATTATAAAATGTACGAAATGTGTGCAAACCTCCAAATCCATTACCTGTTAAATAAGGTGTACGACAGGCCACCAGAGACTGGAAATGCGATTCGAGAAATGGTCGGGCGATAGGCTTCGCAATACCGGTGGTGTAGTTATATATACCAAACGTTTCGTTCAGAGCCGTCGCCGCTATATCACAAAAACGAGAAGAAAACCAATAATTTTATTCAAAATTCTTCAAGAATTTCAACACTCGATAACTCGAGAGACAAGGCTTTGTTTGCTTAGATTTCGTGATTCATTCAGCAATTATTTGCCGATTACTTAAGGCTATCATTTTCTTTCTCCGCAAACAATCTCTATTAGAGTTTCAGATTTAACTATTTAAGACCAAAAAGTTTTGTTGTTTTCATAAACAACAAATTGAAACCCTTTAATGACCGGTTTTATAGCATATATTTTCTCATTTTCTAACTCTTTGTTAAATAAAAAAGAGCTAAAAGTATTCATTGATTCCTAATATGTATCTCATGTATGGAAGGGTTTTCAAAATATTTAACATTCAGTATTACTAATACACGCACTCTAACAACCGCCAGAGTATATAATTTAAAACTTATTTTTCAATTATTCATAAGAGTATTGTGTGTGAGAATAACCAGAGGTGTGATTGTGTGGGAAATTATTTGCATAAAAGAAAATCAATTCAATATTAATACGAAACCGACAGACGCTCTGGGATTAACACATATATTGCGGATCGTATTAATATCAGGATTAATTCAATTTTTAATATCTAGAAAAAGTTTTGACTTTTGTATGTATAGTCGAAATCATGGTGAATATTAAATTACAAGAAATAGTTTTGGTTTGTAAAAGTTTAAAAACCAATTTACTTTATATGACTTAAACAGTATTTTTGATTCAATTTATAAAATAAGATTTTACATGAGACACAATAATTGTTTGAATAATTGTCTGCATCTGCAAACACGATTTTATATAGTATTACATTTTAGTAGTAATTGTTTTTCAATTATTAGTATTAATTAGGAAACAAATTGCATTGATATTAAAAACAATAACTCTATTTCTATTAATTTAAATGATCTAGTACAGATAACAAAAGACACAAATATAGTGTAAGTTGAATGGTAAAGTGCTTTTGAATTAATGATATATTTCTTAAGCATTCGGTTAATCGAAATATTTTTTGTTGTAATCACAAAACCATATCATTATTTGAGTTAAAGGCTGCTATCTATTGTAAATCATTTGTTGATTATTGAAAGTTATGCTATGATTACAAGCGATTATTGTATTGATGATTGATTACAATTGTATGCAATTCTCAATTTCTTTTCTATTTGCTAAATTAAATGCCAGTCGTTTTAATCATACAATTTCATGAATAAATAATAAACTCTTTTAATGAATTCTTTATCTTTGATTTTATTTATAATACACTGAATTTGCAGATATTTTATTTAAAGCGTAATCACTTTATTTTTTGCTCCCAATTATTCATTACATCCCATATATAATCCAAACAAAAGAATTTGAAAGAAATTGTATTTTTGTGTAATTATAAATCAAAATACAATTTTGTATGTAATATGATAATGTATTAATTATAGAATGAATAATAATGAATTTTTATGGTTTACTATATTTGGCTAATATTTAGCAACAGTTTCAGTAAATCTTTGGCTAATTTTTATGTTGAAATAGATGTTTAATATATCAATGAGTATAAAATCGTGAGTTTTGAACCGTTTATTAAAATAAAATATTTTAGCGAAAACGGATTATAAAGTGTTTTAAAAATAAGTAACTAATACTTCAAATCAGTTCAATGTTTTCAATACCTCTAATAATATGAGGAGTTATTGAATGCATTCCTCAATGACTTCATATGAAGTCAATATAATTTTGATTAATTGAGTCAAATATTGGCTTTAATTTTTGCCAAATTTATGATAAAACTAATGTTTTCTCCAGAATTTTATGGCTTCAAAATTGATGGCCCAGTCGTTGACTAATTCATGCCTCTATTAATTCAATTCAGTTTTGCATTAATTACTACAAATTAATTCATTTGATTTCCATTTAATTACTTAAATTAAGTATATTATAAGTTATCAATGAATTAATATTTTCAAACACAAACTTCTTATATATTTTAGTGAAACAACAACTTCTTAAATGAATTGGTATTAAATAATTTTCTAAATGCTCTCTCTCTCTCTCTCTCTCCCTCTCTCTCTCTCTCTCTCTCTTTCATGGGTTGAGTATATTTTCAGTTAAGTTGTGTTTTAGACGAAACCCACAATTAAGACGTCATTGTGAGGAAAACAGATGAAGTTATCAAAGATTAGGGTTTAGATCACATCTCCAGTCCCCATACCATACCATAACTCGTGACATAACGAGTGTATATTTGGGAATAAATCTCATTATCATTTAATTACAGTTTTCTAGACTTAACGGCATTACAAATATGTGAACGCATTTATTCAAACTCTCTCTCTCTCTCTCTCTCTCTCTCTCTCTCTCTCTCTCTCCTGATGTTTAGTAAACTTCTTATATATTTATAAACGAAGTACCGAAACATTAGTCTAATAGTTGCGATACACCGATAATACCCGTCTGAGTCTCACTCACACCCAGTATTAATGTTTTTTAAAACACTTAAATTACGAGAGTTTTAAAGCATATGTATTGGTCTGGAGGACCGCATCCATACGCCGTGCACTTAGACCTTATAGTGGCGTAACTCTAGTATGATTACACAAATTATAAGCTTTTCATATGTTTCGTACCAATAAAGTTGTTCGTAAAGTATATTTTATTTTAAATTTATTGAAAGAATTAATTAAAAATGAGTTATTAATTGTTTTTGCTATGAAAGCATAAAAAGTTATCTTAATTTATATTCAAGAATGCTTTGTTGCAAAACAAGTTCAGGAATGCATTGAAACTGGAGATTGAGCTCTAATTAATTAATTCATATAAAAACATAATCTTATATAACATGTGAATTGTTATGCATATCAACTGAGGTCAAAGGCAACTAAATTATTCTTTTCTAATATCTTAACATTTGTTTTATTCAACAACAAAACATATAACAACTCCGCCACTGATCTCAAGCTATTAGATATGCCTTTGGATAACAAATAATATATTATATAATCATTATTTAGGGATTGAAGACAGAGCTCATTCACAACAGTATCTGTGCATCAGATCCGCAAATAAACTCATAAAACTTACCAAAAACTTCACTAAACACTTACATAATAATCATTTCATTGCTTCAAATATTTTTAAATTAGTAGTTTATTTATCATTACTGTATTATTGCATTATTATTGTTATTATGCTAAATAATTTTATATTAAAATTTATTATGGAGTATTTGATTTGAAAAAATAACTAAATTTTCAGCAAAATAAATCAATGCTTTTGGGCTAAAATTTTCAAATTTTATTTATTTATTTTGTGTTTAAACTAGTAATTATTTAAATTTGTGTTCACGTATTATTACGCTTTAATTCTGTATATTTTACTAAAACCAATAAAAATAAATAAAACAAAATAAAATACTTTTGAATGAAAGCATCCCATTAAAATAATTGATTAATTTTTACTATATTGAACACACATTGTGTGAATAAAAGCCAAAACTTAATTAAATAATGAATAGTTTGATGCGTTGATAAATAGAGGCAAAACATATTGTGTATAATAATAAATACTGTATTGTATATAAGTTTTGGTATAATGTATAAAAATTAATAACTGATAGAAAGCTCATACATATATAATATGGTTGTAAATGCTATACATATTGCAACCGAATAATGGATAGCCGAGAGTTAACGAGAAATATGAGAAATTAATGAAAATGCTTATGAAAATTGTTTTCTTATGGCCACAAATACTGATATACGGTATGTACACCTCATTTATTGTTCACTATCCAAACAATACCTTCAGTCCCTTCCCTCCCCTCCTTTTCATCTAACAAACTCTGAAAACACTTAATTGTATTGTAATTCATATTCATTGAACGCTAAGTTATTATTGTATTTTTGGTTTAACAAAATGAATTTTAAACACTATATTAAATATATATGCGTTGAAAACGCCTTCAGAATTAAGATAAAATTCTTTGTGTTTTTCACTCCAATGTTATTCAATATAATAAAGTTAATAAATTGCAAAACACACTCAATTCACATCATAATATTTACTATATTTACTTTGAGTATAATGAAAAGATAATTCGTTTTTCTATTTAATATCCAATTTAGCAGAGAGAGAGAGAGAGAGAGAGAGAGAGANGAGAGAGAGAGAGAGAGAGAGAGAGAGAGAGAGAGAGATTTCTTTTCCTATTTTCTCTACTGGACATCAATAACAGATACATTTGAAGTGTAATAAATAAATTGTATGCATTTAATGACAAAACTATTGAAATTGAAACACATTAGCCAACTAATGGTTAGGCATTAATGATAGTGGACTAGTAATTATTAGTCAATAAGATAATTACACAATTATTTTATTCAAGTAACATTATTCACTATTTATTTATAAATGATTTAAACGTAAATTTATTTACTTCTCAAAATTATAGTTAAATTTTCTCATAAAATCATAAATTAATTCAATATTAAGTAACCATTTATAAATTATAATTTGTTTTCCCATTATTATTAATATTTATTCAATAATCATTGGTTTTCATCCCTAATATTGATGTGAAAAACCTTTTAATACCCTTTTTGTTAAGAAAAAATTATTTATAATTAATAGTTTGTTATAAATTTTGAGTGAATGCATGACTTTAATTGCAAGGCCTCTACATTATAACGAATCAAATGAGCACTTAATAAGCAATTAAAAACTTATTCATGATCTCAAAGTAATATTTGTATAAAATACCTAAAGTGATTAATATTTGCTATTTCGTAAAAAATATGATTTGAAAGCTTAAATCTAATTTTAACTTTAGAAATTGATTTATGGCATGTGTTAAGTCTATGGTGAATTGAACTTAAAATTAATACACCGGTACTAGTTCATAATATACAGTACTGAACTTATAAAATGTCAAATAAGGTTGCAGTGCAAATATTTGTAAATTTGTAAATAATTTGTAAATATTAGTTTACAATCAAAACATCCTTATATAATATAATTAAAATTGAAGTTAAGGTATGAAAATATCTGTAAATCCTTATTTTTTATTGTTATTTATAAACTCCATGGCATGGAGTCCATGCACTCAACTACTGTTGATATTCTTTGCAAAAGTCATAAATAATTTTGTACTAGCTAATAACAATGAGGAGAATAATCGAAAATAATTTTTAAAATTTTATACGTACTGTTAATTCAAATTAAATATGCAAGCTTTTCATAAAATATATTACATGTAAACTAAATTCAAATAATTTATTAGAGGTACCAAAATAGGAGATACATATCGAAACTTTACTTGAATAGACTGTCAGCTAATTAAATAATAATAATAATAATATTAATAATGATTAAAACAAACCTTTTTGATGAGATAGAAAATGGTGTTTATTAGAGTTGGCATAAAAATGGTCTGATTTATGGTCCGAAAGTATAGCACTGACACCAAACTTGAGAGGGGTTGGCGTCTTAGTGGGCGGTGTATTAGACTCTGACTGATGGTCGGCGCCGTACGAGGACTCAGTCTCGTGATCTGATGAGTTGATCACATCTGCGGATCGCTCGTGTTTTATGAGATCAGATATGCATTGCTTGACATTACAGTGAGAGTAACCGCACGGACTCTGGTCGGGCGCGTGAAGGGGAAGGGGTCTCGATATGAGCGGCTGATTGCCGGCCACGTCTTTGCCGGCGACCACAGCCGCGGCCGCCGCTCTGTCTCTCAGAATATTCTCGACTAAAAACGATGTATTGGTTGCCGAGTGACTGAATTCCGGTGACAATGATGTGGTCGTAGGGGTCGAGTGCGGCGAACGAAGAAATGATGGATATATGGCTGCGTGAGTGAAGATATGCGGAAACATTGCCATCAATGCCTCACGAATGGCTCTCAGCCTCTTCTCAATCTCACAAATGTTTCAAATGATTTGCTTCTCACTATTTGTTTGCAAAAAGTTTCATAAGTTTCATAAAAAGCTTTTTATTCACTCAAAAGCAATGATCATTTGTTTTATTCATAGTATTCAGTGTTTTATTCAGTGAATCGATTCCTAAATACTTGTCACTAAATCATTCAATCAATTACTTATCATTTGCGCACAAATTAATAAACTTTGAAAGTAATCAAAACAGCAATATATTGAATATAATTTGCGAACCGATTATCAAAGTTAGGTTAGTATGGGTTGAGTGGTGTTCGCCCTACCAGTGCTGTCAGTAGCAGTGAATGAGTAAAGAATTGGCAAAGAATTTGTTGACCACAAGTGATACTGTAATCGGTGTCGACTATACTTCTCACACACTTTTTTACTTAAAGGTCTGCGTTTGCTATGAATTATACAAAACATGTGAAGTGAGACTCAAATGAGTTTGTAATCGGAGGAGCGTTTAGTGGGAGAAATGCATGACTTCTACCCAATAATCATTGGATAGGGCGGGGATCTAACCTCACGCACATGAATCTATAGCCCAATGTTCAACCATTATATACCAGTGCCACTCATACTTACCAGTGCCATATATACGGCAATTCGTTAATACCAGAGCGCACATACCTTTAAATATCTACCATTTAGTTTTATCATGCAGTTATGGTGTACGTTATGTCTCTGCCATTATATGCCTTTCCATTTATTCATTTATTTAATATAATTTTATATTTTAATATCAAAATGTCTCATTTGATTGCCACTATTTTATTATATTTATAATTACATTGAAATAATGATAAATACACCAAAATCATTAGTAAGGATAATATTTTTATTTTAAAATCACAATATATTCATTAATTATCATGGTCTATTATATGGTATATTAGAATCACTATGCACTCCCTCCCACCTCATCTCTAAATGAACTTATGGGGGTTAGTTAGAAAATCTCATAGACTTAGCATGGTGCTTAGAATACATTTAAGATCATTGAGTTTTCAATTGCTTAACATTTTTTAAATTTATTATAAAAATAGCAAATAAATATAGTTTTAGTTTTTGAAAATAATTAAATTAGCAAAATATTGCAAATAAAATAAATTTTATAATTAGTATAAATGCTCTAATTTTTATTTAT